ATAATGCGTCTAAACGCCTAAAAGTATGTGAAGCAACGCAGCGTAAATACCAAATTACAAGCCAGCCAACCGCATGCACACATGCAACAATGCGCAGTCACAACTCATGCGCAGCTTTCCAGCGCTTGTTTTGCCTTGTCATCTTGTATGCGCCTTTTTGTTGCATTTTCTGAAACTTTTTCCGCAATAAACGCCCGTGTTAGTCTACGGACAATGGCTGTGAATGCTTTTGTTGTTGTGAGTTACGCTTTTTCATTTCTTTCATTCTTTTCACATTTAATTTTTTTCAGCATTCCTTCATTCTCCACTCTCCCCAATTTCCGCTTTTTGCTGCGCTTTTTTGTCTCTTTTTCAGTTACTGTTTTCGTAATTGTTCGTCGACGCGGTAATTTCCGCTAGCCCCTAACTACCAGAGCCTGGCTTGCAAACGGCCCGCTTTCTTCGCTATTCTTCCTGTTTTGCTTTCTTCGTTTGTTGAAAAGCGCCGAGATTTTTTCTTAAGTCAGCCTCCGCGGCGAACGAGCACTTTCATTAGCATGACAACGGCCAAGGCGGCTGCCCTCCGGTCTCCTGCCGCCTGCTTGCTGCCGTCTGTTGCAACAACGATAAGCCTGTTCCCGTTTTGGCAGCGTGTCGCGTGTTATCGCCATTGTTCGGCTGCCATGTTGTGTGTTATTAATGCGCTGTTTGTCTCCGCGACGCCGCTTCCGTCGCGCCGCGTGTCTGCACCACAGCGCTGTGCCGTTATAACTGCATACAGCTGTTCATCATATTGTTGCTTTGTTATTAATGCAGTCTCGTTGTTGGTAAGTGTGTTTGTTTGTATGTTTGCTGGTAGCGTTTAACCCTTCTTCTCCCCCTTTGCTCTTTTACCACCAGCATGCCTTGCTAATCCGCTTGCTGTGCTTTCAGCGTTCGGCATTGTTGTTCCATTGTTGCTCTAAATAACATTAGTGCTTTTGTTGCTGTACCTAATGTTATTGTTGTGATGCAACAAGCATGACTTAAGTCCAAGTGCAACAATATTTCACCCTCAGCTTATGCATCAACCCTGCTCCGTACACCTACTGCACTCAAGTGCTCTGCTGAGGATGTGTGTGTGTGTTGTTTTGAGTGTGCATTTGACATTGTTTTTAACGTTGCCTGCTTTTTGTTGTTATGGATGAATAAATTGAAATAATTTTTTTTTTTAATCAAGTTATGAAATATTTTCTTTTATAATAAAATTAAACTTTTTTCTATAATATATCCGTAAATTTGAAATATATTTGGTTTTGATATTTGCAATAATATTTTTAGATTCAATATAAAAAAAAAAATTTATTTGGCGCATATTCTATAACCCGTTTTGTTTTGTTGCTGTCTTTTTTTCTCTTTCAAAATTCCTTTGTGGCCACTTTTGCATTGAGGTAGAACAATCGCCTTTGACTCTTTGACTCTTGTTTTGCATCTCAGCGCAACAACAAACGAACTTCGCACACAATTTGCATTTCAATAGCAGGGGCTTCTCAAAGTATACTCGCAGCAATATTTGCTTTTTTTGTATTAAAAAAAAAAAGAAAATGTGTTGTGCGCCGCTTTGAGCTCAAGGTTAAAAGCTAATGTGACTTCCAAGTATGGCAAAAGTAAACAGATCCATTTTATGCCAAGAAAAATATTTAATAAATTTTGTCAATATTTTTAAAAAATCTAAATTTGGAGTCAAAAAATGCTATTATAAAAGAGGTTAAAACTGTCTAAGAAAAAATATTGTTTTACTTTTAAGTTCTTACCTTAGAAGTATTGTTCTATAAAATAGCGTCAAAAATGTACTAAAAATCATATGAAATTATTTTCGCTGCCATTTGCACCAGAAAACTTTTTGAAACACATAAAAGCCCATTGAAATTTATGTAAGTACGAATTTGCTGCAGATGCCACACTTTTGTAAACGGCAATTAGAAATTGAAAAATCATAAATTTTTACACAATTGCCGCAATAAACGTAAAATTTTATGGTGCTCATAAGGGTATCAAAAGCTCACAGCGGTAGAGGGTTGTAAAAGCAGGACACATGAGTTTGACAAGCGGAAAACTATTAAAATTATATAAATATTTTAGAGCGGGCATAAAGCTGACAAGTGTGAATGAATGAATGGGCATATTGGGTTCAGCAACTTTTTTTTGAAGAGAAATCATTAGAAAAATTATTTCTGTATTAAAAATTTAAACAAAATTGTTTTTTTAAATTTGTTATTGTTATTTGAAAATTGCAAAAATTTAAAGATATGAATTTTAAAAACTTAAAAGAAAATTTTAA